TTTATTACTCTAAGGCTTGCTGTTAGTTTTTGCTGTTAGTTAGGGGGTAGTTTTCTGGTGCTTATTTTAAATTTCTTGGCAGCAGGAACGACGGCATAATATTCCATGGAATTGTTAAAGTTCAGAATAGGTCACTGACCAAGAATGACTCAGATCACATTTTTATAAGGAGCATACTGCCTAGCGTAATCTTTTCCACTCATTCAAATGCAAAACGCAAAGCAGTCTGGTATGATTTTGTCACCATAAGCTTCAGAAGGTCAAAAAACATTACTGATCTTAAATAGGCATGTCACCTCTTACTTAGAACAGGTATCTAAGTTCTGAGGGAACTTTGGGCACCAGCCTGACGTTTAATTTCGTTTGACCTTATTTGACCCGAACGTCATGACCTAGGAACCTCAAACTTTTGCGTAAGTAGGTTCAAGTACAGGCCAAGACACGCTCTTAAATTGGTGTCTCTCCACCTCTCTTAGTTCTGAGATCGCAGGCGGGTCAAATTGACCCCCACCCGGGCGAGGGTATCCAAAAAGCCATCTGGACGCATGCTAAACGAACCATGCAACAAGAGCAGAGGTCAGCCATCTGGCGACAGCACTACAAAGATCATCAACATGACGTATGATGGGAAGATAAAAAGACGTAGAGTCTGTGGTAGGTCGCGAACAGCAGAAGAGCATTTCCACACGTCACTTCGGCACTCCATCTCGTATCGCACCAACGTTCAGCGAAGCAAGTGTGCAAATGCCTGCTTCGTCTGCTCTGGTCAAGAAACAACACCATGTTCCCTTATTGTTGGACTGCAGCTCGCAGGTCATTCCATCCTAGCGCGGGCAGCTTTCCAGCTGCCATTCTGGCGGCATGGGGGGGCGGGGATCCCCTGGTCGATCCGGAAGTCCTTAATGGACACGTTATGTCACATTGGTCGCCGCCCTGGCGCGGGAGGCCTTCTGACCCGCGAGGTCAGTCCTGGATCAACGCGGGAGCCCTCGTCGACGCAACAGCATCTCTGATCGCCACGGGTAGTCCCAATAATTGGCACATCTATTCTAGTTCCGCTTAATACACCCATGATTGACATTGGGCTAGACGGCCCACCGTTCGGCACTGGGGACCCTGACTGACACAGGGCCCTTCCATGGTCTCAATGTGAACCGTTATCGCAAGTTCGCATGCTCTCTTTCACTGTCAAACGGCTCTGATCAACGCGAGAGGCCCTCTAGCATTCGGGGTCAGTCCGTCCCGTCCCTGTTCCCTGTTCAGCAAATGGTCCCGTAAGCGACTCGAGACCCTTGACACACGACAAGTTGTTAGGCTTTGTGGGCCCGTGACTGACACAGGAGCCCAGCCATTGTTTCAGGGACCCAGACCAATGCAAATCGTGGGCCCCGTCCTGCTCCTGCTTGGCAAATGGGCCTCGGTGTTTAGACCGACACGGAGCGAACTGTTCGGTGTTGGTGGTCTCTGGTCGGTATAAAACGCCCACATTGTCTCGCCGGGTCCTCAATTGCTGAAAGAGGCTCTCTGACTGATATTTCAGGTCACAGGCTGCTGTCATATATGTGACCTTGAGCCAGCCCTTCAAGCCCCTTTACCGTCCAATCGGGCCGTTGATCGTGGGCGCTCGGGACGCTCTTCGGGCCCGTCAGACACTTGCTTTTGGTTGGCCCCAGGGACACCATACCAACGCAGGAATTCCCTGTTAAGCGATGTGGGCCCCGACAGGTACAGGGGCCCCGGTTAATGTAGGTCGCGGGGCCCGGTTTTGTCCCTGCGTGGGAAGTGAGCCCTAAGGCTCATACCAACACGGGGTCGGCTGTGCGGTATTGGTGGTGCCTGATCGACGTATGGGTCCATATTCACTCAGGGGGGTCCCCCCGAACAGTGCACAGGATCCTCTGGCTGGCATTGGATTGCTCGGCCTAGCGGGCTGTGGCCCCTAAACACAAACTTCGGCCGGCCTTTCGGGCCCTCAAATCGGGCCCTTACTTGTTGGTCCCCGAAGAAGGCCTTTTGGGCCTCTCAGCCCTAGGGAGAAGGATGACACGTGCCCCCTGTTTTCAATTATTGGTGCTTTTGTAGCCTTTCGGTGATTACATTCGGTTTTGAGGTGCCATGACATATATCAAGACTAAGGTTCTCCCAAAGGAATACAAGGCTCCATACATGCAGCCAGCTCGCCTTCACTATACCGCGCCAAACATGGCAAATCTCCATGCAGACTGTATTTGGTCCTCGATGACTAGAAACGTTACAAACACACTGAACACTCGCCAAACACCTATGCAAGCACCTGTATGCAACTGACAGCGAAATGGACGGCTTAGGCGCCACAATGTCGGCGTTGGTCCCGTCCCTGCGCCACAGAAGGACGCAAGGCAACTACACTTCCGCACGTCTTTGGTCGGGCGGTCCCGGCAACTCCCCCGCTCAGGTCGCCATGGTCTGGACCCCTGCTCCGCCGCCGTCGCCGAGCTCCGGACCCGGTCCGGTCCCGTTCTCAGTGGTCGTCCTCGGACTCAGCGGCCGCTGCCGCTGCCGGGTCCGCTGCGGACGAGCCCCGACGTAGCCGGCCGCTCCGCTGCGGCGAGGCGCTGAAGTAGTTGCGGAACGCGCCGTGCAGGATGGCGGCCCGCTGTAGCTCGTCCTCCCTATGGAAAAGGGGGAGAGGGGGGGGGGGGGACAATGCTCGGCGTGGCTGGTGCCGAGATCTCAGCCCCACCAGAGTCGCTGCAGCTGTTGGACCTGCGTGAGAACAGCGGCCGCAATCTTGCAGCGAACAGATGATGTGGTGAAGGCACCACACAATTTCGAGACCAATAAATGCGCGGCGACCTGGCATCTTAGTCGTTCTCGATTACAGTGATGTTCTTGTGGTCGATACAAAAGCGATTGATGCAAAACTGTGAACTGTTGAAACCACCCTGTCGTGTGGCTTTAATCCGTTCATTCGATATCTCACGCCTCCATTGTGACGCTATCCCTACGTCCCACCTTCAAGTCGGGTCCGATTCGCTGGATGTCCAGAACCAATCGAAAACGTGCGACTCGACAAGGCATACAGCGTACGCTGATCATACCACGAATCGTATCATGTGCGGCATATTGCGAATTCCGTTCCAAGATGCTTAATGTTGTGACTAAATTGTGGTTTATCCACGACTTCACTGAAACGCAAACTTAAATTGCCGCTATTTTCCTATAGACAAAACCCAACGACAATAACAAAACTGCTAATCGACATAACCCACTTATGGTATGGAACAAACGGACCGGATGTTAGCACTGGATGTTTTCCCTCAAGGTCACGGTCTAACCCCATATCAGCTGAAATTATCCCAGAACCCAGATAAGTCGGAAAAAGAAATTATAAATTGACGCAGTTAGCAAAGTAATCGAGGTATCCAACACCTCCCAAAAATATAATAACAACTGAGGTTGTCAGGGCGCGCAGCCTGCCATGGTCATTTCGTGCTGCGCACACTCCTCATTAACAACCGAGGAGCTGGTGACATCAGTATAAAGAAAGAAACATCGCTCGAAGACTCCCGGCCTGCGTTAGCATTCCAGAAAAACAAAAACAAAAAACGAAAACTAGCCAATATCTCCCGGACAAGGGTGCGGTGAACAGCGTCCGTAACTCGAGCGGGCACCGCGAACTGCCACGGTCCCAGTCAGCCGTCACGTACTTGTTCCTCATGATCTCCGTCTCTCGACGCTTCAGCTCATCGCGCAGCCTTCTGACATCGTCGCGGTGCCGTCGCGTCTCCTTCTCCAGCTCCTCCTCCCGCCGAGCCAGCTGGGAGCGCGTCTGGCCACACGGGTCGGGACACAGTCACGTGTGCGAACAGACAACGGTCATTGGTTGGGCGGCGCCACTCACTACGGAATGCGACCATTGACATCGCACACCGCGAGGCAACGGGTCCAGGCGAGGACGCACGCTGGCTCCGTCTTCTACCAGGCCGTGAATGGACCGGGCAATGCATTTCGCACGTTCCGACAAACAGCTTCCGGCCCGAGTTCACGTCCGGGTCACTGACCTCTTTGAGAGTCTTCTCCGTCTGCTGGTGCAGCGCCTTCGCAGCTTCGATGCCGTCCAGCTCGGCCTGCAGCTCGGTCCTGACTCTGGCCACGGCTCCCTGGACCTCCCTCTGCTTCAGCTCCACCTCCTGTTGGACGCCATGCTATCGGTCAGTTCCACTAGTCAGAGACGGGGCATTCACAGACAGGCCATCGGGCCATCCAACTCCTAACGAGCGACACCAGAAGATCGTGCACCACCGACAATAAGGCTCCACGCAAAACCGCCATTACCTTGGCGCAGCCATCATCACCATCATCATCATCATCATCCTTATCATCCTCATCATCCTCATCATCCTCATCATCCTCATCATCATCATCATCATCACGATACCGCCACCAACGACCGCGTGCGGTCCAAGCTGATCCAGAACTGTTAAAGGCAAGATACATTTGCGGGAAGTTCGGGCCGTTATCGGACCGGGCTGGGTCCCCCTGGCGGTGTGCCGGCCGGGTACGGTTGGACCGCGCCGCCCACGAAGGTCCTCCACCGCCGTCACCTTGGTGAGGCACTCCACCTCGGAGCGGAGCGTGCGGGCGTCCAGCTCCAGCTGGTGCGTCTTGCCCTGCAGCCGCTGATTGGCTGTCTCCAGCTGGTGCCTCTCCTGGCCGGCCAATGCCAGCTGCGAGTGGACGTGGTCAACCTGGGCCTGCAGAGTCTGGCAGCGGTCGTCCTGTAATGGACGGGCCAGTCTCCTTACAGGTAACCAATCACCAAACGCCTCGCAGCATTGGAAATAAATCCATATAAATTGTGTCCGTGTTCCTCTTCAGCATCGAACCTCGGTTAGTGGCTTGGACAGTGACACGTGCAAACCGCAGATGCCGACATCACGCACATTACACATCTTCCGCAGCATTGATATCTGTCAGCTCTCAGCAGCGCCTGCCACGGCCGTGGCGTGACCTGCCAGCGCCGCGCCAGGCGTACCTCCTGCTGCTTCAGTCGCAGCCGGAGCGCGGCCAGCTCCTCCTGGTGCTCTCGGGAGACGGTGTACAGCCGCTGGCCGGCCTCGTGCAGCTGCGCCTCCAGAGCTGCCCTCTGCTCGTCACCCAGGCGCAGCTGGGTCTGGCAACAGGGGCGGGGAGGAGCGTGAGGGGTGACCCTCTGCTCGCCACCCAAACACAGCTGGGTCTGGTAGCAGAGGCGGGGGAGCGTGATGGGTGACCCTCTGCTTGCCACCCAGGCGCAGCTGGGCCTGGCAGCAGCGGCGGGGAGCGTGATGGGTGACCCTCTGCTCGCCACCCAAACACGGCTGGGTCTGGAAACAGGGGCTGGGAGGGGCGTGAAGGGTGACCGCCTGCTCATCACGCAAACGCAGCTGGGTCTGGCAGCAGAGGTGGGGAGCGCAAGGGGTGACCCTCTGCTCATCACCCAGGCGCAGCTGGGTCTGGCAGCAGAGGCGGGGAGAAGCGTGAGGTGTGATCCGATTCAGCTGGGCCAGTTAACAGCAGTAAAGGAGGCTGAAGGTTACAGGTAGTCTGCTCATAATAAGAAAAGGGTGGAATCTGTCAAGATTGGCAGAGCATGAGTGCGTAAGCTCGTCCCCCAAACGCAGATCGGTTCATCAAGAGATCACCTTCAGTGACAAGAGGTCTTCAGGGGAAGGGGGATGGAGTCACCATGGTGACAGTGACAGCCGAGCCAGGCTTCTCCTGTGGTGACGTCGGCAGTCACGCGCGTCGGAGCACACCTGCAGGTTGGCGGCGGCGGCCGTCGCCTGGTCCTTGACCTTGGCCAGCTGGCTCCTGCGCTGCTCGTCGGCCGCCTCGGCCTCGGCGCGCCACTTCAGCTGCTCCCGCTCGGTGGCCGCTGGTGACACCGGTCAGAGCGGGTCAGGGGTCGACTGGCGACGGTGGCAGGTGGCGACCTAGCTGCCGACGCAAGTCGGCTGATCGGCCAGCAATGCACGGACACCCGCCAGCTGATCCCTCTCACCGCCGCGTCCTACCCTGACTCGCGGCGCTCGCGCCAGCAAACTGTGGGATGATACTAAACGGCCTCCGAAGATAGCAGCCCACCAACCCACCCCCGGGGCCTCACAAGGTCCACTGCTCTCAGAGGCGCATACGTTCCCACGCACGGGCGCATCGCCAGTTACATTCGTCCCCCGCGAGGGTCCGGCCCCATCCGATCCCAGGGAGGGGCCTTCCGCCCCACTGACCCTGGACGTCGTCCCGGAGCGAGCCGACCAGCGTCTGCAGCCGAAGCCCGTCCTGCTGCAGCCGGTCGGCCCTGGCGGCCTGCTCGGCCAGCTGGCGCTCGGCCTGCAGCCGCAGCTGGCGCTCCTCGGCCAGCCGCCGCTCCAGCTCCGCCGCCTGCTCGCCGTGCTGCTGCTCCGCCCGCTGCGCCGCCTGGTGGCGTCACATCACATCCCGTCAGACAGGATGAGGCGTTTGGTGACGTCACACATCACTTATGTCAGGTCCCAAGCAGACGTCCCAGCGGGTTGGCGTTGTTCTCTGGTTGCTTCCAGAGGACTCGGAGGGAAGAGAGATGCAGAGCGCGCTCACTCCAAGCTGAAGTACACATGACGTACACAATACATCCCATCACACCGAAACTAGCCACATCCACGCACCTCTTTATGCTGTTCCTGCTCCTGTTTCCGTGTGGTGTTCACGGAGGCCAGCTCGGCCCGGCAGCTTGTCAACTCCTTCCTCCAGTTCCGCCCTGGTGACGAAGTGTTTTGGTGCCAGTGAGATTATGAGGCCAAACTCGGCGGCATTCGTAACGGCTGTTAGTGTAAGATACCAGCTAGCCCCCACCTGTCCTTCTCCGTGGTCTCCAGCTTGGCAGTGGTGGCAGACAGTTTGGAGGTGAGAAGCTGGGCGGCTGCCTTCCGTTCCTCTAGCGCCTCCTGAAGCTGACCCAGCTGGAAGGTCAGGTCACTAAAACAAAGCGGAGAAATTGTCTACATATATGATGCACGTCACGCTAGCTGGCAGCGACTTTGTCTATAACGTTGCTGGGTGTCAAGCTGCATAAAAGCCGGCATCACAACACTTTTGGAGTAAAACGCTGGGAAAAATCACGACTGACTCTGATTTCGCTGATCTCAGACTATCCACCTCTGCCTGTCAGCCAACTTGTGAGTCAGGGACGCTCACGGCTTGAGAATTTACATGTATTCTCAATCAGTACCATCAGCTCTTATCTAGCAAATAGGGAATCCCTTCCTTAGAACTGCGTTAAGTATACGGAAAAAACAATGGCCTTCCTATGTACCGAAATCGCTGACTTTCCATACCCAAGGCCAGCGTACACGGCCGGCGCGCTGGGCCAACAGGTGCCGGTGCAGGGGACAGTAACACTCACGCCTGGACTCCTGAGAAGGACGCCCGCTCCGTCTCCAGAGTCCGGAACACTCCATCCACCTGGCGTCCACAGCTCTGTACAGGGAGCTCTGTGCGAGTGTCTGGACATTCACCTGAACATCCACGGAAGTCGTGGGCGGGCACGGCACGTCCGCAATGCCCGCACCGCTCAGCCGCACGCTACGCCCACGAATCGAACACCCATGGAATGTGAGTGACACACGGAATGTGAGAACACCACGGATGTGAGTGATGTGAGCATCAGCTCACGTCACTCACATCGAGTCCACATATGACACAGCTCGGCTCCACATGAACGTCACTCATATAGATTCACAGCAATACAGTCCAAGAACGGAATTTTGTCTCACCGCCGACAAGAAATCCTCACTTCCCAGTGCAGTTGCCTAACAGACATGTGTACGGCGATCAACTTTTCTATCGGCCTCGACACGCGGTCGTGCCGCAGGCGATGTGCGACAGGCGGCAGGCTACGGCCGAACGTTAGGCGCCCGGCAGGGTCTCACCTGAATCTGCGCCGTCAGGAGGGAGCGCTCGGTCGCCTGGTGCCGCTCCGACTCCAGTAGCTCCTGGTTGTTGCGGACCCGGAGAGCTGTAACAGCCACGACACGGGTCTGACACCCCGAACAGCTGATGCGGAGTGACACGGGTCTGACACCCCGGACAACAGAGGCAGAGAGACACGGGTCTGACACCCCGGACAGCAGAGGAGGAGAGACGCGGGTCTGACACCCCGGACAGAGGCAGAGAGATACAGGTCAGACACCCTGGATAGCAGAGGCAGAGAGACACGGGTCTGACACCCCGGACAGCAGAGGCGGAGAGATGTGGGTCTGACACCCCAGACAGCGCAGGCGGAGAAACACGGGTCTGACATCACGGGCAGCACAGGCGGAAAGACACGGGTCCGACACCCCAGACAACAGAGGCGGAAAGACACGGGTCTGACACCTCGGACAGAGGCAGAAAGACAAGGGTCTCACACCCGACAGCAGGGGAAGAGAGACACGGGTCTGACACCGCAGCACGTCTCCACAGCAGCAGCCGGCATCTCACCGATGGCCTGGGCGAGGTCGGGCGGCAGGGCGTTACCGTCCACCGGACACGAGGTCAGTGACCTGTTGGCCTGCAGGGCGTCGACCAGGCTGCGGCCGCCCAGCACGCCCACGCCGTTCCAGCGCAGGTCTGGGGGCACGACGGACGTGTGGTGCTAACATGCGGCGTCTCCGCACTAAAGGCCACGGGCGGTTAACACCCCGCGTGTCGGAGCAGATGGCAGACAGACGGGCCGGACGCTCGATCGCATGCAGCGCCCGACGACAAGACCGAGGGCATCGAATCTAGCATCTCTGACTTGACCCAGGCCAAAGCCCGCCGTATCAGCGTGGTATTTCGTTAGCCATCACCGTGACCGATATGGCACACCGAAAACAATTACAATATGTAATTAATGGATCATGTAACAACCCGCACAGTCCCACCTCAAGCAACGATGGGCGATGATAGGCACCCGAAACAGGGACATGCAGCACGCATGCATGCAAAATATTCGGCAGGCATATGCGGAGAGAATGACGTGACCATATCGTGGGAATGATCGTGGTTGGGCATTGGTTGATTTTTGCGTAAGGATGGCCTACATTTGCCCAGTTAGAGCGCCTGGCCCTTCTCTTCCCCACATCTCCCGCCCATTACCGAGGTGGCTGAGGTGGCGGTTGGAGGCCACGGCGCGCGCCACGTACGCCGCGCACTGGTGGTCCAGCTGGTTGCTGCGCAGGTCCAGCGACGTCAAGCCTCGGTTGGTGCGCAGCGCGTCGGCAAACACGCGGAACGACGGCGGGCTCAGGCCTGCCGACGGCGCGAGACGCGTCCAGATACGCACCTCGCGGCGGCCACGACGCCATCAAAGCGTGGCTGCCGACTACAGAACATGGCGATGCCCCAGCCATCTCTGACAGAAAATGATCATAAGCTACGTGAAAATGAGACACCGTGAGTCTTTTGTAGCAAAGCTAAGCCAGCCATCGTTTGCATAACCACTAAGATCGGTATGACCACCTGCCGAAAAGCCACCCTTCACGGTAAAGGGAAAGGTCTCCCCGACACGCACTCGTGCAGCCGTGGCGACGTTCGGCAGGCGCGGCAGCCAAACGCCTGCGGGCAGCGTCAGGTGACGTGTGCCGACTCACCGAGGTTGTTCCACTCGAGTGTGAGCGCGCGCAGGCGGCCGTTCTTCTTGAGCAGGGTGGCCAGGTGCTCCGTGCCTGGGCCGCGCACGTTGTTACCCCGGAGCTCCAGCAGCTCCACCGATGTGTTCAGGCACAGGCCTAGGCACAGTGCCTGGAGACAGAAGCCATCAGTGAGCATGAAGAGGCTCAGCAGCCACAAAGCAGAACCAGCGACAGGCCACCAGAAACGGATGCCACGAAGCAAAAAACAAAAACAAAAACAAAACAAAACAAACACAACAAAACGGAGTCACAAAGACGACTAAGGCCTGATCGGATAAGAAGAAGGAACAAAGCACTGTGAATCTATAATTCCACAATTTATACTGCAGCGGCAAAATGCAAATAACGGACGTCGTGCGTTGTAGTTTAGGGAGCATGTTTAGCTGCGTACGGTTGCTGCGACGCCCGAACGTCACTGGAGGCGGACATCTACTGATTCATCTGCGCCCTATCCGCACAGCGCTATGCCACGTCACAGGCGGCGGCGCGCGCGCGGCCCACCTTCAGGGCATCCTCGGAGAGCAGGCAGTCGTTGAGGCAGAGCTGCGTGACGTCGGCTGTGGTAGGAGAGCAGGTTGCCGAGCACGGCCGCCTGCTCGGTCGGGACGGTCGCTGCCGGACAGGTCCAGTCGGCCCGTCCGTCCTGCTCACGGTACGGCGGCGCACCGCGCGCGGGACGCCGTTAGCGCCCGGCAAGAGGTGCAGTGTGGTGTGGGACAGCGCCCACTGTGCAATCGACAGGAGAATGGCTGATCATGGGAAGCAGGCATGCCCTACGCTGGTAACCAAAACAGGAATGTGCAGTCAGCCTGCCTAGAAAATATTCATATGGCATATGCTGGATAGAATAAAGTGGTCATGTGTTGGGAATTGACCATGGCAGGGCATAGACCAGTTTTTATGTAAAAATGCAAGCCTAGTTGTGCTGCAAAAAGGACATTCACTTCAACATGAAAGAATGATACTAATTAGACTAAAACCAACACACTATTCAACTCCTCTGCCTTTAGATCTGCTGGACATGACTGTGAACTGTAAAATGGAATTCTTGAACAGAAAGCTGTGTTAAAGAACATGCCTGAAAATCAGAACTAATTTTAACTATTTCACAGTTAGAGAATGGAAATGAAGACCTATCATGCATGCTGGGGTGCAAGTGAGTAGCAGCACCCCTGCTTGCCATGCACTCTGAAGCCCAACCAAAGGGATCCTGCCATAATCAAAACATAATGAATTGGATTGGGGGTACAGCCAAGGAAGGGGCACAGGTGGCCTGCCCCTCCCCTTCCCACCCTGAGGCCCATATTTTTCACCACAGAGGGCACCTGACAGAAAATCAGAAATTAGGATGATGTAAATTCAACAAGCTCTGGCCCCTCCTGTAAGAAAATCCTGGCTGTACCCCTGCATTGAATTCAGCTGTTTGTGTCAACTCACACATGTGTGTGAACAGTGCAGGGGGTTATGCACACTATCAGTGTCAGGATTCCCCAATTCAGTCAGCTAGGTGGCAAATATATGAATCAAAATTTTAAACCATCAGACTTATTCATAGTTCTGAATGGACATATCAGGTTATTGCATGCTACTTAGATGGACCTGGGACCATTCATGCACCTTGACCAAGATCTGACAGCCAAGATTTGCATTGCCTGGGATGGCTAGACACTCACTTGGTGACATCCTCCACTTCATGCTCATTGGTTGATATTCAGGAAGGGGAGGATCAGCATGACATGAGCTTAACACAGGGTTCCAATAACATGCATCTAGAAAGTGCACCCTTCGCATGAGAATGCAAAGAACTTGACATAGAGTGAGCTGGCCAACAAACACACAGCATGTCTGGCTAGGAAGCATTTAACTACTACCTTGTTACCATACCTGCTAATACAGAGGTTTTCTGTGATACTGCTTGCTGGTTCCACATTGAATTCCTTGCACATAAGGTTAAACTGTTCTTGAAAACTCATGACTTGTCAAAATCCTGTGAAAATATAACCCAATTGTTATGTTTTAACATGCTATTAACATGAAATATTAGCTCTCACAGGCTCTTAGTGAGGTTTGAAACTCTTACCCAAGCAAGTGAGAGGGCTCAGCATGCAGCTACTTGCTGCTACATTTCTAAGGTTGGCATACATAATATACATAAAATGTTAATCTACCATTGCTATCTTTCAGCATGGGACCTATTTATATCCCATTTACATCCTGATATTGAAAGTTTGCTGATTGATGATATGGAGTATTACCTGCATTAACATGCACAGAATGTCGGTATGGACTAGTACTGTGTATATGCATAACATTGCAATTATTTGCTTGCAAGAAGTTGTTAGATCTGACCATGCCTGTCTTGAAACTAATATTGACCTGAATATTGGTTTAGATCAAAACATATGTGTCAAAATGCCAGGTTTCAATATTTTGAGTTATGCATGAGGGCAACTCCTAAATTTTTCTGAATAGTATCACAACACATATGTAGGAGTACAGCCTATCAAAGCCTGCACCCACAGCTAATTTTTTCAAACCTCTCCCAGCCAAACCCTCCCATACATTACAATGTTGTCTTTTGAAACACAATGATTTTTCTTCTTATATGGTAAACACTTATCAGTCACCCAAATATGGTTCAGTTCAGATTATCAGTGGCCAGATAGCCTCACTAGCATCTGTTGTGAACATAAAGACAATTTGAATTGTGAGCCAGACTTCAGAAATGTGTATTATGTTAAAAATGTCCAGCATAGCAGCATGACAGCACAAATTTTGCTGCATGCATGACATAAATTAGAGTACTTAGAGTTTGATGCACTGCCACCACCTATTTCAGCAGAGAGCCAATGTTTCATGGAATTATGGTGATGCACTGGTAATTGCAGATACAAATACTCCACAAACATTTCACATGCAGAAATAATTTCAAAATCCAGCAAAATGTGGCCTGACCTGAGTTTGACGCACGCGAGAGCACCGATCTAGCGTAGACGTCCGCCGCAATGGATGGGTTTTTCACGTTGCGTTGTAACATTACATGAGCATTTGCGCGGTCTTACGCAGAACAATGGGCGATCGGTCAAGGAACCAATGCCCATATGACACCTACGAAGCAAGATATCCTGAGCTACGAGCAATGGAAGAACATAACAATCCAAAACGATCTCAAAATAAATCGCGCGCGCCCCGGCATCTTCACCGCCTGCACTCCTGCATTCCTTTCTGAATGATTGCTTACACTAGTGTAAACTTCGTTGTCAAGGAAATATGGAAACAGCAGAAGACAATTCCCCAATTTCTTCAGCAAATACAATAAACTCGATGACTCGCAAAGGTATAAACACACTAATTGATAAATATTTACCTTAAAAATGTTGTTTCATTTATTTTGTGTTGTTTGAGCTCGTCTGTACCATACTTATACAGATAATAAGCAATATTTTTTATTTTTGCTGTCATCAAGACAATCATTTTTCTATGCCTTAAATACACATTCGTGCCAGCTACCAGATTGGCAAAGCGGGGCGCCAGCGGCGAATGTATGAAGTTCTGCGTATGGCCGTGTCTACATCTTTGAAAATGCGGCGCTGTCAGGGCCGTTCCACTTGAGATCTGATTGGCAGCAGCGGCACAGCGGGTGAAAGTAAGCGGTTTAACACGCGCTCGGGTGTGGGGTCAAATCGACCCCCCCTCGAAGATTTGTCCCGGAATGATTTCCGAACGGCGCGGCGCAGCCGCGCTAAATTTTGCATAGCTGTAGACAATTGAATAGCGGATCGTTTTACGTAAAAAATTAGATGTTCGTTGTAAGGTCGCTGACCTATGGCAGATCAAAGTCAGGCCATGGTTTCAGCAAAGGCAAGTTCTAGGACAGCGTTCAGTGTGATAAAACAACTGAGTGTTTGACAAAACCATACATCTCTTAGATGCCTTCTTAGGCACCACAAATATTGAATGAGCAAATTGTGTTGACGTAAGGCCAGGTAGGAAGGTCAGGATGAGGTTAAAGCCAGCCTGATTTATTATTGGTGTTCTTCAAGTACTTCACCTCTTTTAGAAGAAGAAATATCAAGCTATCTTGGTCTAAAAATGATGAGGATGCTTGCCTGAACTTACCTTTGCAGCAGTAATTACTTTACTAACAACTTTGTTTACTTACCTTAATGAATGACTTAACAGCAGTAATTACTTAATTTGGCAGGTCATTGACAAACATCAGATCAGATCATGTGACTGATTAACTGCAAACCAGTCACATATGTAACTTAAGGTGAGAGGCCAGGACCAGATGATAAATAAAGCGGCATTTCTATGCATGACGTACCACAGAAGTTGGTAAAGATGTGTAAGGGGTTACTAAGTAACATCAGCTCTTAAGAGACAGTTAGGAGCAGTTAGGTGCTGTTTGTTCTACATACAGTAATTGGTGCAGCAAGCCTCTCATAAGTAATAAGCTACAACTGGAAGATCATTGTTTATGCTGATCCTGCCACCAGCTCCTATAGTATCTGCTTTCAGTACTAGTAGAGCATACCAAAACTGACATAGCTCAATTCACATTTAACACCCTGGCAATGTCCACAACAGAGCCAAAGTGCCCTCTGCATCATAGCCTCCTGCTTCACTATATTGCTTTTCAACCACAGCAGTTCAGTGAAATAAAATTTTCCACATGTTGTGGTCACAAAAACCTAGAGTACAAATCACCATTTAAGTGATAAGCTGCTCAGCATGCATGAGAAGAATTGTTTTAAAGATCCAGTTACACAATTTGGGACATGGTGATCATGGTGTGTTGCATAGCACATGCTCATTTTTGTCTCCTCTTCCAGCTTTTCAGGATAATTGAACCAGATTAAGCACTATGGTTCTGCGGAAGATGAACCTGATCGTGGCTGTGGCATCCAACGGGGGTATTGGAAAAAATAATGATTTGCCATGGAAACTGACGTAAGTTACAATTTGGGTTGGTGGAAACGTGATGGAATATTTCTTGTGGTTAACTTGGATCATTATTTCCAGCATTCAGAACTGCTGGTTGTACTTCATTACCAGGATGGCTTGTATATGTAGATGCTGCCAATGGAGATCTGGTTTCCCATATAGCTGGAAGAAGTGACAGCCTCAGACTTCACTGATCACAAGCTGTGCGGTCAGCATCCTCAAAGCAAAAGTATCATGTTTTAGGCCAAACGGGGCTGTAGTTAGTGGACATGGTTAGGGGTATCTGATTCACTCTGCAGAACCAGTTTTCTGTAATTTGTTTTCAATGTATCAAGCTCAGTTGAATTGCGGTTTCTGCGGTATCTTATCGTCAGAATCCCTGCATACCAGCGCGTGAAAACGTCCTGTTCAGTGTTCAAAGTACTGTTCAAAGTACGTGCTTTAGTTAGTTTGCTGACGACCGAAAAACACACTGACCCTCAGCAATAATGTTGGATTGACTGTAGTGTCACCGGCTGCGAAGCAACCATGACACCTGCGCCTCGCTGCGGCCATCCCGCACACTTGCATGGGCGATGACTCAGCTCAGCAGCTCAGGTATTCGACTGTGGTTTTGGTTTGTGTTTATGTCATCAAGCACTAGCGCGGCCGAGCGCATGCATGTTGCGACTTGAGGGGGGGGGGGCTGTTAAAAAGGGGTGCCTGGACCGACGTCGCCTCACGGCGGCGGCTCAGTGCAACCTAAGTAGCGCGTGTTTAGTGCATGCAGGGACCGCGCCTCAGACGCGCTGTGGTCGGGCTCTTGATTGAGATGTTCGATTTCTGTTTTGCAGAAAGGAATTTAGGTATTTCGTCAATACGACGCGCCGTTTGGAGGACGCCAGCAAGAAGAATGCCGTTGTCTTGGGCCGCAAAACCTGGGAGTCCATACCACCCACAATGAGACCAATGAAAGGCAAAATCAACGTGATTGTTACTTCTCAGAAAGACTTGTAAGTACGTTGGCGTGTTATACGTCACTTTTGACGGGCGGTGTTTCGAGGGTCACAGTTCCTGGTATTCCACGTTGCCGGTTGCACCGTGTTAAGCGGGAGAACTTTAGAGGATCACGTCACCAACAGTGTCATATTCAGTTACATGTGTAGGTGCGCACGCTAGCAGAATTTCCATAGGGATTAGGTTGGTGAAGTCGAGAACTGTCTGGAACTTAGCCATGATATTACCCAACTTCATTTGCATGGGCAAAACAAAATTGAGTGAGGTGGGGTGAATATATCATGTGTTCTCTGATATTTAAGCTGTTGGACTGTAATGCATCATGGGGAGAGAGAGAGAGAGAGAGAGAGAGAGAGAGAGAGAGAGAGAGAGAGAGAGAGAGAGAAGAGAGAGAGAGAGAGAGAGAGAGAGAGAGAGAGAGAGAGAGAGAGAGAGAGAGAGAGACAGAACAGGCAGACAGGCAGACAGGCAGACAGGCAGACAGGCAACAGGCAACAGGCAGACAGGCAGACAGGCAGACAGGCAGACGGCGACAGGCAGACAGGCAGACAGCAGACAGGCAGACAGGCACAGGCAGACAGGCAGACAGGCAGACAGGCAACACAGGCAGACAGGCACAGGCAGACAGCAGACAGGCAGACAGGCAGACAGGCAGACAGGCAGACAGGCAGACAGGCAACAGAGACAGGCAGACAGGCAGACAGGGCAGACAGCAGACAGCAGACAGGCAGACAGGCAGACAGGCAGACAGGCAGACAGGCAGACAGGCAGACAGCAGACAGGCAGAATTGGCCTGCTTGTTCAGTTCCGGTGACGGTGTTTTGATCGTGACAGCCTGCACATAAAGCCTCCTCCTTTTTGATGATGTTATGATGCTGGTGTTTCTGGTGAGGTTGTCTTGGGTGATGGTCCAGCCGTGTTCTTTTCTCGTGTGCATTTTTGGAGCACCGTCAGCCGAGTGCATCGTCAGCCGCATTGAAAGTGTGGTGGTAGAGACATAATCGTGGTTTGATTGCGTTGTGAGTCTGCAATCTCCTCTGTCATAACGAAAGTGATAAACTGCGTTTGTTTGTTTCAGTGGGTCAGATCTGGCCATGAGGCTATTTCTTATGATAAGCTGGGCGACCTTTGTTTTTGTAGTAGAATATGAGCGCAATCTTGTCGTCCTGTCGTCGACATGCATCCGCGTCTTTCGCATGTGGGGACATCCGCTGCGTTGTTCATTCCGAACCTGTGGGTGCTGTTAAGCATGACCATGCGCTGGCGGGTCAGAATGGTTTCTCTGTTTTAGCCATTCGGAAAGCTTCTTAGAGACACCCAGCTTCTTATCTGAGGCTTGGTGGTTTTCAGCCTTGTTACTATAACTTTCCTGGTCCCACAGCTTCTGCCACTTAGCCAGCGTATAGCGCTCTGTAGCAGCGTAGAACGGAAGATTACTACGCAAAAATTGGATAGCAGTAGTTGCGGTTGTCGCTCCTATGGGTTTTTATAGCCGCCCTCACCCATGCATTTCATTATTTCCTCGCGTGATGCGATGCTGTGGTGCAGTGTTGCAGAGGGCAAGGATGTTTACGTGGTACACAGTCTGCAAGAAGCACAGGAGCTTTTGTCGACTCCTCCCCTGGCAGACACGGTGGAGACCATCTGGCAAGTCGGCGGCGCGTCTCTTTATCAGGTATGGAGTCCTAAATACACGATTCAGCTGAATATTGTTTGATGAAACAGCATAATCATGCCACCATTCCTTATCGCAATCGCCCACCATTGGTTGATGATTGAGATATGGACTCAGTATTGTTATGATGCATGCACTTCAAACAAATGTGGTGTGTCGTGTGGATCATATTGGTTCTGTTGTGTAAGATGCCAACTCGGAAGTCTCCGTAGTGTGCTAAGCCTTCACAAAACTGTTTCGTCGCGTCACTTTGAGATGGCTTGTCAATGTGGAAAAATGAGAGGTGAGGACGAGGGGAAAATTTTGTCCTCGTGGATGCTTTTGAAGAGCATATGATTGCTCTTAAGGATCTCGTGCTCACCTTGGTTTGATAAGGGTTCCAGCGTTCCCAATGTCCATATGGTGAATAAGCACGGTTATCGAAAGATACCAATGCTATTCAGTCTACATAGAGTACCGCGGAAAATCACATCGTTCTGTTTTCGCCATCCCCTTCACGTATGCCATACCCCACCAAACTTCATGTTGATCAGTGTTTTCACAACACTGTTCTGCGTTGCGCAGGAAGCCATTGAGAAGAAACTTGTGGACAAGCTGTATCTCACAAAAATCAGAAAAGAGTATGACGCAGACGTCTTCTTTCCGAAGTACAACGAAGAAGATTTCGTGGAAATCAGGTCAGCGATGTGATAAATCTTCTCGTTTAACCAGAACTCTCACTCCATTTGCGAAATGTGTTCTACGGTCAGTATCGCCATGTGATATCCAATAGAAATGTTACCCTTTATGTGATATACATCTGTTGCACGTGTAATTTGTGTTTCACTTTGTAGTGACCCCCACGTTCCGGAGGGTGTGCTGGAGGAGGACGGCGTGGAGTGGACCCACCATGTGCTTCAGATGAAGTAGTCGCCTGACGCGGATCGACGCTGGCAGTCCGCGGCTGAGAAATGAACAAGTTATTGGTGCACGGTTTTGTACTTGACAGCTTTTTCCACATATCCGTAGAGCTCGTTGAAGTGGTTTGTGTCCAGTGCATTCTGGTGCTTGGTCGTTTTTTCACATATCCGTAGAGCTCGTCAAGGTGTTTTGTGTCCGATGCATTCCGGTACTTGGTCATGTTATTTCAGGTAAGCGTAGGTGCTGAAGGAACCGGCTCTGAGTTCCGCACTGAAGCTGAATGAATAAAGTAAGGATATTTCTAGAATGAACGTTTTTTGTTTTGCTACTAGCCTTGAAGTGCAGACGAGAAGCAAGTGTTGAATGCATGGTAAACGAAGTGTGCTGGAAGATGGTGGCGAACACTCAACATGTTCACGAACAACCTTTGACAATCTTCGTCCATGGCGCTAAGAATCGCCAGGATGCACTGCGAGTGTGATGCTGTGGTTGTCCTTGCATTGAGGCTTTTATCATCAACATACATGCTTGTATCCTTTTTGGCTTGTTAGGGCGCGGTATGGAAATCCCTTGCTGTTAAATTCCGCGATTTGCCGGTTTTTAACAGCGGAGCTTTCTTGGTGCGCTTTAAGAGGGTGGGCGTTACGCGGTAAAGAGAGGAGGCCTAAAAAGCATATGCACATGTTTTAGGTGGCGTGCTTCAGTATGTGCTGACATGGCCATTGATCCATGAGATTTTGCCTGCATCGAATGACCTCAACTACGGTTAGGAATACACGCCACATACGATAGACGAGGGCGGCCACTTGGTGGAGGAATGCACGCCCCAACAATAATGAATCCGAATCTGACATCTATTTCGCAGTAGTGCGTGACCTTCAATGCCAAATGGCGGGGAACTCGATACCAACCAAAAGTTACTGGCTGATTTCGGATTTTTAAACATCTCTGGGTTTGCCAGCGTATGAACTAGCGTCCTCCATAAGATCCTGACGTTTTGAGGTTAACCCTTCAAGGTCAGCTGACGGGAACTCCGCATCATCCAATAGTTGCTGACCGATATCGGATTCTTAAGCATTAGCAGCACATTCAGCGCATAACCTGTCGTCTATCAGAAAGTCTTGGTCTTTTAAGGCCAAGACTCTAGTTCGCCATGAAGTGGTCGACCAATTCAGATTTTTGGGCACCAGAATGCTTGCCACCACAGGAACTGGCGTCTGTCGAGGAGTCCTAACCTCTCAAGGCCACTCTTCAACGTCAAATGGGTTGTATATGACGGAGAACCTCCATGTCACTCCTTAGTTGCCAGCCAATTTCGCATTTTTAGGCACCCAAATATTCGTCAGTACGTGGGTTAGCGTCCACAAAGACTGATCTGGCAAGGTCACACCTCAAAGCCAAATAACGGGGAAATCCATATTACCCAATAGGTACCGGCCAATTTCGGATTTATGTATCATCAAAATCTTCTTCAGTTCATAAGCTAGCAGCTTTCACGAAGTCCTTACCTCTCAAATTTACACTTCAAGGTCAAATTAAGGCTCAAATGATCTGGAATTCCTTACCATGTTTAAACAAATTTGACTTTTAAGAGTGAAGTCAAGAGTTTAGGACGTTTAGACAGATGCAAGTTAATGCACTGATGAATATCCTGATGCTTAAACATCCGATATTGGTCGGTAAGTTGGATGGTATGGAGTTACCTGCCATTTGACTCTGAAGTTGACAGTTAAGGTCATGTGATGTTACTTAATATACATCACATGGTTGTCCTCCCTGTCATAACTGATCATCTGACTCATTTTCAGCGAAATCGGCACTAGTCTCTAAATGAATGGCGAAGCCATTCGGTCAGCTTCGTCCCGATGGCTCAGTTGGTTGGAGCGCCTGCCTCCCGGTCCACCCACCAGTGACGGGATAGGTTGGAGTCCTTGACAGATGTGGCCTGCGGTTGGTGGCAGAAGCCGCGCTTAACGTCATGTGACGTCAGAGGATAAGATAGACCATGCCGGGCATCGCGGCGCGCTAAGCTTTCACCACAGAGTCCTGCAGTCGACCTGGAATCGCGTTATCTGATGTTGTTATCAGGCCGGATACAACAAGCACTGCTTAGCTTGAAGCTTTTGATGCCAATGAATTCCATCCATTGAAAAGGTTCGGATTAAATCTTGTAACACGTCAACACCTTTTATTGAAGCACCCATGTCAGGGGCATCAATTTATGTAAGTCATTGGGGGCTGAGCTGAGGGCCCACAGCCTAGACCCCCCATGTTGTTCTCAACGGGCTTGGCCCACTTCATTTTCACGAAGGCGATTTTTATGTTCAATTCTTATGTCAATAAAGGAAGTCTCTAACTTAAGCAGCATACTTGTCATGCAGAGGCGGATCCAGAGGCGAGGACTGCAGATTTGTGCCCGCTCTGATTGGATGGGTAAAGATGCCTCTAGAGGCCGCCATATGGCCCCCACTCTGGTATGGGAGCCTTTGCCGCTGCACGTATTTTTGTTGTGGGGGACGAGATGGGGCTAATCATAAATGGCTTGCATTATTCCCAATATTCCGGAGCTTTTCAGTTCAACCTCTCAAACCTTTGCGCGTCCGTACAGCACCAGGTGCGTCAAGTTGCTCGCTTAGCAGTTGCACTTCTCTCTGGCGGTGGGAGCAAACACCACATTGTATTGTGGGAAGCGGTCTTTTAGTGTTGGTAAGAACGCTGCCCTATATGACAAGCATATATGCTTTGTGGCTATGGGGCGGTGAAGGACACACAAAACGCCAAACATAAATGGGTTTACCCCCGATGTGTAAGTTACCGCTCATTTGAGGAAATCATTTTAAGTTGGGGGCCAAGTTACTCAGCTGCACCCTCCATGTCGACGCCACCACGAGACAGCATCAAAGAAGACAGTCTTTATGTCACAGGCCAACTTTCTCCATGCCTTTGAATGTGGACTGCACAGTGTATTAAAGCCTAAGCCAAAACTGGGTGCGGGACGGTAGGGGTCCGTACAGAATGCAAATGGGCACACGTGGCAGATGTCGCAATTAAATTCAGGACGTCCGAATGTATTAGCTTATACATTACGAAACTGTACGTGTATCCATGGAAGTGTAGATAATTTGGGGCCATTGGGTGTTTAAATGACCTTGAACGAGCTTTACGTTTGACACCCATTAGCAATGCTATTACAACATACCATGATAAACCAAACAATACGTGGGCATTGCTTGTTAGGTTGCATCAGTGTATGAAATCACATTGGAATCATGGTTGTTCCGCGGACGTGACCGACAAATTTGAAGAGCAATATCGATTAAACTTGATAACGTCGTGAAAATGCCGTAGATGGGACATTCTCGGCGCATTGACGGGCCTCGCGGTTCGATTCCGCGGGCGCGCTCCGCCGTCTGTGTTACAGGGTTGAATGCGTTTTTTGTGGGCTCAGGGGACAGGTAGGTTGAGTGCTGAAGTAGGATTGGGCGGACAGTCATCCTGGGAGGAAATTTGAGCGATTTGACACTGCCGTCTCGTTTTTTCCCACTTTGTTCTATCAGCAGTGACAAGGCAATAGTACTCGCATGACATGGAAGCTGGACGGATGGCACCGCGTAAGCCCTGCACTTCGCACATTCGTGCAACGTTCTGAATCAACCAAATGTGGTACAAACGCATGCTACAGCCGTATCCGCAGATACTGAAGACATTTTTTTAATGTTTGTGTGCCTGTAATGATCACCCTCAAACCTGCTATGACTGTTATGCAAGTCTTTAGCCCCATGTACCATTGGTGACAATAAAGAGCAGTTTGCCTTTAAGCCTGTTGATCACTCAGCTCCAACCAACAGATGAATTAATATGTGATGCGTGCTATGAGTTGATTATCATAGAGGTGATGCACTTGCAGTTGGATTCTGTCCCCAGCTCCTTCCCCAGGATGTTGGGCCAGGGCTGCATTGTCTCTTGCTGTGGGGATTATGCATGCTCTTGTGGCCAAAACCAAAACTGATTTTATTTTTTTCTTACTGCAGACAAAATCTGGAAATCCTGCTCACTAATTCCAGGTCTAAACCCTGGCAACTATTTTGGGGTCACCCCATGGCTTACGGAATAGCAGGATTTGGGTGATGCTATTGTAATGACACAAATGGCAAGGTCACTGAAATGCTATCCCTGATGTGCCTTCCCTATTTTTGTGGGTGCGTAGCTCAGAAACTAGAGGGTTGTAGGTATTAAGAAGGGCAGGATTGTGAAGAGCACCAAAAGCTCTTAAAAATGGCATTTCAGTTCAATCTCCATATTAATATGGAGCACCATCATTAGTGACTATCTACATGCATATCAGTACTTGCATTCTGTATATAGTTTTGAGATGCAGTTTGTATAATATGACAATATGTAGCAATGCATAGTATTGATGTTCTTTCATTTTGAGTTATGTTTACTGCTTGGTATGGTCTGTTGTGGTACACTTCACACCACATGCATATTCCCATTATGCAAGATATCATCCATTCATAGTCTCCTTTCTGTCTCATCACAGCATGATAACACTTGTCTTGCTTAGAAATACACTAGGCTCAGCATGGTGATACTCTCTAAATCATGCAAAAGCATCATACTGGCATTGTGATTTTGTGTTGTGATAGAAGCAGCAGTGTGGATCCATGACACTTGACACTTCAACCTAAGGTGCCCTGTGCTATGAAAATATGCTTGTGAAAGAGCTTGAAATAGCAACTTTACCTGCAAGTTTTACTTAAAATATTGATGTTTGTCTTAACAGTCTAGTAGATACAAGTTTGTCAATGAACATTTATTCTGCATTTTATGGCTTGTTCTGAGATGCATCTTCAGGCTTGTTCTATATAGTGCATGATGGTCCCAACAACTAGCAGATTTATTTCTTATGACCCCTGTCAGGGCAATACATAAAGTCCACAGTGTGAGGGTGTATTTTAGTTTATTTTTATTTTATTTTATGTTATTTTTTGCTGAAACCCCAGTTTAGCAGTCAAGATGCTCAGGGCAGGGTTGTGAACAGCTTCAAAAGGTCTTCAAGACAGCTATTTCAGTTGAAAACCTGATATGAATGTGGAACACTGCCTCAGAGAGAATCCTCCACAGTTAAAGATATTGCAGCAAGCATCAGATGTGATGAAATAAGCTCATTTAAACCATTGGTATAGTTTTTGAGTGGAATAGACTGTCCTAGACATCACAGTTTCTGTACATAGAAGATTTAATCCTCATGTTATTGATAGTGTTATACATTTTAAAATATTATTGATAGCTATTTGGTGGCCA